AGCGTTCGAAACGATCCTTAAAACTCTTCGTACGGGTTTCATTTCTTTTTGAACGTGGAAAAAATAGCTACTCTAGACAATTCACAAGCCTTTTCAGACCAAAATTTGACGGGACAAAATCGGAAGAAAAAGATCTAGAACAAATTAACTATTCCAGTCTTCTGGCAAGGCTTTTTATCGCTAGAAAAGGGCATATCTGGAGTGGAAGTGGAAAAAAAAATCCATAATTAGAGTGAGCTCATTTACTTTAATTTTAAACAGTATGCTCGAAGGCTGACAGCTGGTCAGGTACAAAAATAGTCCTACCTTCTCGATGAAGTCTGGGAGCATATGTCAAGAATCAGTGAAAAACTTTGCGAAAAACTAAAACCACGTATCTAGTTAAATTGAATCTATAGCCGCTACATTATGAACAGTAAGCACAAAATCCAACCTGGTAACGAGGCTGGGCCTTAAAATGACGCAGCTATCAAACGTCTGTCGTGCGTAAGGGGATTAGTCCTGGCTGGCCACATCCCAATTTCCCCGCGCAGAATTTCAAGGGATAACAAGAAACAGCCGTTCACACAATCTTTAAAAGGAAACAAAAATTGGGAAAAGGATTCTAGAGACTTTTCAAACATGTAGTTTATTCAAGTACGGGCAACGCTGTTGATTTACCATTCTGTTTTGAGCTCACCGAAAAAGGTTATACGCTTTTAAAACACCGTTAATTATTGGCTTGTGTGGTTCTTTGCAACTCGTTTGAGACCGCTTGGTTCCTAAAAGAGCGTCAACCGTGATTGCTAATCGACATAGGCTGTTCATAGGCTTTGGGGTTGGTTGCTCAGTGCGACCGAAGCCAAACAATATGGTGGCTACGATACGTAAATAATAATTCGTGCGCATCATCGGTGGTTAGTGTTGTCAATGATAAATAATAACCCTTTTTTTATTGACTGATGGGAAGTGGAGCCTCTAAAAACATTAGGAATGCTTTTTCATACTATGAAAAGTATGATTTGACCAAAAATGCTTTACCAGGTCGTTTAAGTTAGGATCGTAACCATACCGCACATGTTTTCCTGTGCTCTGGTGAGTGCGGTTTTCATACCTAATTGTGGGTTTATTTACTGATCATCCGCTCTTTATCGACATTTCCCCAGCTCCTGTAGTGATTTTAGTCAGTGACCTTCCTCCTCTGAGTGCTCTGCTCCTAATGTGTGGTATTGCAAAAAAGGCACTCCATCTCAATTTACAGGGCTCCTTCTTTGACCCTATTTCATCTTCCTTGTCTCGATTGCTATTTTCATGCAAACCACAAAAGGAAAGAATGAATAAGAGAGATTACAATAAGAAGAATTTATCCAGGAACATGGAACTACTTTTTCAGACTAAATCTGCGATTTTATGATTACTCGTTATCTTTGGTAATTATCCCTCAGATGTCCAGACAATTCCAACTCCTCAAGATGAAAACTGACTTACTCTATTTTCTATTTTTTTTTTTTCATGTAGCCACAGTTATGGATATTGTTGACGCGTCGCCGCAGTCTTCCAGCAGATCGTGGACGTGTAGTGATGTGAAAACCTGGCCAAAGAATGAAAGACAGGTGAGCAGTACAGTATATATTTTTCTTAACCCGATTTCTAAAGCATTAAGTGATGCTAAGTATTGCCACTCTCCCCTGGGAAAATGAAATGGTTTGGCAGACCACAACAGCCTGCCCCCAGGTCTTACGTCAGGTTTCAACAAGCTCCTTCCCAGGCTCTCTCCTCTTGGTTCTTTGGAGCTTGGAACGAGGCTTTTTGCTATTGGTGACAAAGGGGCACTATACAGCAAAACAGTGTTTTAGCTTTTGAAACAATTTGCTTTTTAGGTTGGATTCCAACACTTTAAGGTTAAAAGGCTAAATGGTCAGATTTTGTTACGTCTGCAAGATCTTAGAAGAGAGGTAGGGGTTGTGTGTTCCTAAGCAGGCAGAAGAGTGCATATTATAAATAAAGTCACCGCGAAATGACGACCCTTCTCCCCTCCCCTGACTTTCACATACATCTGCTTATTTAAAATACCCTGATCAAAAATTGTGTCCCTTTTCTGCAACGCTCGAGCCCGTTTGAAACGATTTAGTTTTAACTTAAAGTACCTGGTACCATTATCCCTGTAAGATCACTGTTCTAGCGTTATTAGAGACACAAGCCAACGTTGGAACATGTTAGCCGTGTCTGTTTCGGACCGCCATTTCGTCGTCGAAATACTAGTTTTTGAAATTTTCAATTAAAATTATATGCACTATGCCTTTTTTGGATGGGAATTAACCTTTTTTCTAATAAATGTTGTTTTCAGGTCATTATTTTGGGGATCAAAGGATTTTGTTTTATATATTTCATATATTATATTCATTTTCGCCCTAAAAGTTGTGTAAATTACCTGATCCTAGAGCATTGATTTTCAACCTAAACTCCATTTAGTTCTTGTTCATTGCTCTTGTTCAGATTTGCCTTGTTCAGTGCGCAAGCTCAATGGGTCTAACAAGTCATGTTGTTTTAATTTCAGAGTCCAGAATTCTTCTATTCATCAGTGAGGACAGATTTTAAACTGGACACTGTGTTTGATGTTCTGGAATTTGCAGACGCGTTGGATAAATTAGTGGAGTAGTTTCAGCCTGGGCAGCAAACGATACATATTGTGATGTAACAAGCAGAAACTTGGGATAAAAGCACAATAGAATAGGAGCAGGCTCTCAAGCGTTCAGATTTACGATTACGTTTGACGTAGGCGTTTGACTTACGATTACGTTTGGATTACGAGCGGCCACGTTTCCAATGGCTCTGATAAACCTTCTAATTTTTCTTGTCTTTTTTGTTATTTTGAAAGATGATAGAGTGGTTGACATACGAAACAAGTCCACACGTTACTTTTCTGGTGAAATTTCTGCCGAATTCGCAGTTGGTTGCGAATTATCAAGGCCTTCAGTTCCACTTGGTTGGAGTAAACAGTCCGCCATTGTCCCAACGACCAGCTGGACTGAAGCAAATGCATCTTTCCGACTGAAAAAGTGGTCTCTCATTGCTCAACCTCTACTTATCTGTGCTGGAGACGTATCTTTAAATCCCGGACCATGTGGCTTAAAGTTGTGTCATTGGAACGTCCAAACATTAACTGACTCAAAGCCTGAGGAATTGAAACTCTTTGTCACTAATTTGCATTCTGATGTGGAAGCCTTGATAATTACTGAAACATTTTGTCAACCTAAAATACCAGACTCGTATTATCCTATTCCTGGCTTTAATTTACACCGCAAGGACAGAGTTGGAAAGAGCAGAGGCGGCATTATGGCATGGATCAGGAACTCTTTAGAACAAAAAACGACGAATGGACTCGGAAAACGAAAAAGTAGAGGCTTTATGGCTTGAAGTGCTCTCTCCTAACTGCTGGTGTCTATCTCCCTCCGTCTAACAACACGGAGCAAAGCAAAATGCTGGGAAGTAATATTGAAAATGCCTATTTACTCAACAAGGAGATGATCTTGCTGGGAGATTATAATGTGAGTTTTTTATCTTCCACTGGTTTTAAAAAACATCACCTTGTGAAAATTTTACACAAGTTCAATCTGACCCAGGTTATAAACAGCATCACAAGGCCACTGTCAAAGACTTGCCTGGACCATACTTGTCATCCTGGGAACACCTAAACAGTATTAGTGTAATCCCTTTTGGAATGTCTGATCACCTTCCTATTCTTGCTACGAGGAAATATAATCGCACAAGATCTAAAAATAACAGGTTCAATACCATAAGCTACACGGACATCAAAAACCAAGACAAAGACGCGTTTGTCGAGTCCTTGAAAACGGCACCTTGGGATTGCGCTTCTGTTGACGACAAAAACGAGTAAAACGCAGAAATCAACCCAAGTGGTTCAATGTCAATATTTTGAAGGAAATCAGAACAAGAGATGATTCACTAAAGAAAACAAAAAAAAAAGGAATTTTGAAAGAGACTGGGACATGCACAAACGAGCAAAAAACAGTTTCTCCAGTTTGATCAGGAGGACAAAGCAAGCTTATTTTAAGAATACCTACGCGAAAGCAAAAACAACAGTAGGAAACTATGAAATCTCATAAAGAGTTTGTCACGTGACGATGATGAATCTCGATCTAGTATTGAAAAGTTGATTGATAGCGGCTATGTCATTACAGACAAAACCAGTATGGCTAAACTGTTATATACCTTCTGTATTGATTATTCAAATAATCTGATTTCTATCCAAAGCACATATGTGGCTCAGCGCCCAAGTGCCATGAATCAAGTTGAACATGCATTTGCGATCCCGAGCATAACTGTGAAACGAGTCTCTGAACTACTTTTGTCCATTCCAAGTCACAAAGCAACAGGTGATGATGGCATCAGCGCCAAGATTTAAAAGATTGCTGCTCCTGCCATACAACCATCTCTGACTAGACTTTTAGACTTTTAAATCTATGTATATCAAATAAGGTCTTTCCATCTGCCTGAAAAGTAGCTAAAGTAACACCTGTGTTTAAAGGAAATGGAAGCAGATCATGGGTGTCATTCAACTCTCAGAGATGCAAACCTTGGAGTGCCTCAAGGGAGTATACTAGGACCAGTTTTGTTTCTTATATTTGTAAACGATCTACCAAAGATACTGGAACATTCAGCAGCAGACATATAAGCGGATGATACTACTATCAGTGTTACTGTTGATTATAGATCAGCACCCGGAGCCTTAAATCAAGTTCTTCAAGCTGATGTTGGTAAAGTTGCACAATGGACCACAGACAATAAAATGGTACTGAACAGGTTCAAAGCTAAAACTATGTTAGTAGCTGGCAAATGTCTACATAAGAAGATGAGCAGCACCTCACTCACTGTCAATGTCAATTCAGTCGAACTCGAACAAGTCCAGTCTTATTTACTGTTAGGTGTAATTATTGACACTTAGCTTAATTTTAATAAGCATATTGATAATCTATGCAAGAAGCTAACACAGCGTATTGCTGTTTTTAAAAAAAATTAGGCGTCATTTACCTTTAGATCAACGAATTCTTTATTACAATGCCATGATAAAACAAACTATATTGTATGGCTCTAGTGTGTGGGTTTCTACATCTGTTGATAATCTTCAGGCTACAGAGGCGTGCCGCACGCGTTATTCTCAATGCTGATTCTAGAGCAAATAGTGTAGATCTGTTAAGAGAACTTAATTGACTACCTTTTTTTTCATGAAACTAAAATTAATCAGCGCGTTAGTTTATAAACGTTTGAACGGGATGTGTCCCGATTATATGTTAGAATTACTCAAACGAAACATCGACATAGGTTCTACTGAAAGACAAAGTAGATATGGGTCTTTGAATCGAATTTTTCCAAAGTATAAAAGAGAGTCAGAAGGTGTAAGACTTTTCAAATATCAGCCATTAGGTTTTGGAATTCACTTCCCAAAGAAATTAAGAGTAGATCTAGTTTAGAAATTTTAAAGAAGTCTTTATATAAGTATTTTTTGGAGTTCTATAAAGATGTTCATCACTGCACTATAGCTTAGGCTATTCTATTTTGTTCTCGCATGTTTTATATTACTTCTTAGATTATTCATATTTTAATTGTTTAATCATCTCGTTTTAATTACTTCATTATTTATATTTGTGTTTATTTCTAATTTGTTTTTGAGGGCCACGAGTTTATCAGTATTTTATACTGTCAAGTGCCACCCTCGACAAGTAAAGTTGAATATTATTATTATTCCTATTCTTCTTCTTCTTCTTCTTCTTCTTCTTCTTCTTCTTCTTCTTCTTATTATTATTATTATTATTATTATTATCAGCACGTGCGTCAAGCATGCGCACTGCTGGACGCACGTTTTTGCGTGCTCTTCGTAAATTATACCAGTTAAAAAATTCTAACAGATTCCACTCTTCATAAATATATATCTTCACATATATTTTATATTCCACATGTCTATGTTCCTAAGCAGATTAAGACTCTAAAGCGATCTTTCCTGGTGAAAGTTGGATAGTGAAAATGTCGAATTTGTAAACGTTATCAAGGACACAACTGAACTGGGCTCGGCTGATGGAGATAACTTAGTGCTGGATCTACTAAAGGGAATTACACAGAAATTAAGTATCTGGAATAAAGTGCGCCTAAATTCTGGGATTCTGAACGGATAAATTATCACGTTCACAAATGAATTGCTAAACTGTAAAATTTTGATAATAAAAAAAGCGAATTCAATATGGTGAACATTTTCCATGACTTTCAATTGAAACAAAATATTTATAATTTGAAAAGGAAGCCAGGTAAAAAGTGATGTTCCTGTTATGAGAGCTAGT